ATTCGATATCATTTCATTTTGAAATGAGACGGTACAATGCCGACCATGCTTAAATCGTTCCAAAAAGAAAATCAAACATCCATAATTCAGAAAATTTAAATACATACAAAACTTTGTATAGAAGTTGAGCACATGTTTGTTCAAAAAAATGTATACAAATTTCAAAAATAATACTTTTTTTTTGAATAATACAATATTGGAGTATAAAAAAATTAAATACAATAATCATTACAATAATAGTAAATTTTATAATAAAAATAATGGAAAAATTTTAAAAGAAGAAAACACAATGGGAAGTACTTCTTATCTTATATCATATGATGAAGTACACAAATAAATATACAATGTGCTTGTTGAAAGAATAGACTTCGGCCCAATTCAACCTCAAAAGTTAACTCAAGAGGTTGAGGTACCCAAACTATTAAATAGCAGCACAATAAGACTGCATTGCCGACGTGGGATGAACAAGTCAACACGGTACCTCAACCTCTTGAGTTAACTTTTGAGGTTGGATTGAGCCAAGTCTATTATTTCGACATGGTATCGGAGCTAAGCCATTGATGTTGGAACCGCGCCCGCAGTAATCTGCGCCTCGTGTGAGGGGGGCGTGTTGAATTGTTCATCTCACATCGGCAATGCAGCCTTATATTGTGCTGCTATTTAATAGTTTGGGTACCTCAACCTCTTGAATTAACTTTTGGGGTTAAATTAGGCCAAAGTCTATTGTTTCAACATGGTATCAGAGCCAAGCCATTGATGTTGGGACCGTGCCCGCAGTAATCTGTGCCTCGTGTGAAGGGGGCGTGTTGACTTATTCATCCCAAATCGGCAATGTATTCTTATATTGTGCTGCTATTTAATAACTTGGGTACCTTAACCTCTTGAGTTAACTTTTGAGGTTGAATTGGGCCCAAGTCTATTTTTTCGACAGTACTTAACCTCAAAGGTTGATACGATTTAGTCCGTGCTAATCAATTTTATATTTTTGTATGTTTTTTTCCACCCCTACTTTAAAAACACTTTTATTTGCTTGTCTTACTTGGCACTAGAATTTTTATTAATAATATTTATTTCAAATTGTTGAAAAAATAGAACAATATGTCTACTTATAAATAATGGAAGATACAAAGGAGTGTGTGTGTGTCTATATATATATATATGTATGTATGTATGTATGTATGTATGTATGTATGTATGTATGTATGTATGTATGTATGTATGTATGTATGTATGTATGTATGTATGTATGTATATATATGATGGTGTAAATACTATGCAAATATTAAGTATAAATGATCGGAACGGCTATAGGTGGAAACATTTGTAACCCGGTTGGTTATTAATGATAGTAGGACTATTACAAAGTACAAGCCGTGCAGGTTAATTAGAACATGTCTCACAAATGAGGCTTTTAGTCCTATTTATAATAATCTCTAAGCACGTCAAGCACGTCTTTGTTCATCCGACCGGTCAGACCTCTAACCGGTTAGTTTGTATGTCTTCGCGAGACGAAGCCATGTATGTGATTTCGGATCTTCTCACCCCTGACCGGTCAGACTGCTCGGGTCGACCTGGTCATAAGGCATTAGATTCGGTACCTCCCGGTCGGTACGAACCTACCAGGTGGAATTCATGGGTTATCACCAATCAATACACACACACACACACACATACACGGCCCGGTTCTAGTGACACCGGAGAACGGTGCCACTAGCGGTGCCACTGGGTTTTTGGGGCACCTCTGGTGCTCCGTTCGTAAAATTGACGGTTTCTACCCCCCACTCTACCCCCACCCCAACCCCTCCGTAACCCTTCTCACAAAATGTGTGACTATTATGCAATGCATAATTTGGAACAGAGAGAGTATATAGCAGTCCTAACACAAATAGGAATCAACACAATAATAAAAACCGACTAATAAACAAACATTACCATGATTGATAATAGGACTTCCTTCGACCAAAGTATATTGTCAAGTTTGACCTCTTTAATTAAAACTAAATGAACTTTAAATTTCATTTCACTAAAAATTGTTATTTGTATCAAATAAAATTGATTTTATTAAATATATTTTGTTAAAAACTTTCAAAATTTTATTTCAGAATTCAGGAAGCACCACAATAGAGATTTTATATCTAGCCATATCAAAAGTGATCTTTTTTATTCATCAAACATGTCCTAACTAAAGTTGTACTTTTATACTCCATCTGTCCCAAAATATTTGTCACACTTGTTTTTTCAGGAGTCGCGAGAATTTTTGTTCAATTCTACGTTTTCATTGGTTATTTGATAAAATAAAATATTTTTGACACCTCTTATTTCGAAGAACTTTTCATGTAGTTTTTTGATATGTAAATTTTATTTTTTATTTTTATACCAATATGTAAATAAAATGAATTGAAAAATACTTGATATTTTATCTCGGAAATACAAGTGTGACTAGGGCCGGCCCCGAAAAATGAAAAAATAAAATTGGCCCGGTTCTTAATTTACATTTTGGGCTATATTTTAATTTTTTTAGAATACTTTTTCTTTAAAATTATTAACAATTTTAAAAATATGGGGATCTAAAATTTTAGAAGCCCTGTACGGTTCCATTTTCCACAACTTACAAGCCAACCATCAGTATGACAAATATTTAGGGAGGGGAGGATATGCTTCTCTCTTGTGTTGAAGTCAGATATCACAATTAAGTAGACACGATTACTAATATATAGAGGCGAAAATGTATACTTCTTGGTGGAAAATCAGACCAGTGTTATCATTCCTACTCTAACATGTCCACAGGTATATATACAGTGAAAGCCATAAATCATCATCATCATGGTTGTGTGTGTGAATATATATACTCCCTCCCTCTTAAGATTAATTTCCCATTTGACTTTTCACGGTCTCCAATGTGACACTTTGACCATCAATATCTCAGTTTTTATATAAATATATTTTATAAAAATTATATGTTTTAAAATTATGTTTCAAAATGAATCTATTGCTAATAAATTTATATGAAAATTCAATTTATTTTTTTGCTAATAGACGGTCAAAATTTAAAAAGTTTGACTACAAAAGTCAAATTGGGAAGTTAATTTTAGAACGGAGACAGAGTATATGCGTAAATGTGAAAGGTTATGAAATAATGATATACAAGTGACATTAATGCATGGCGTGACAAAACCAAACGAGTTATGAGTACGTACACATGCAGTGCCCAGTAGTGATCCAATTCGATCAGCATGCACTGTACCTATTAAATTGTTGTATCTGTTATTATTCTTAACAACACCGTACCAGGCCACCAATGGTGCGTCGTCCATATATGCCTAGCTAGGTCGCCGGAGCTACATCCACATCCGACGGCGTCCGCCGTAGGCAGGCAATGTTATGTAATTAAGGAGAAGAGCACCACCGTACCGGGTAGTAGTCCGGCGGCGGCGGCCAGGCCGGGAACTGAACGAGGAATTGAATGGAATTAGGATCCAGCAAGATCTGCCATGTTGCCCAAAAGGAGGGCACCGAGCTGACCCCGGCGCCATATTTCATTTCACCCATTAATTAACTAATTAATCAATCAATTAATTACATCGAGCTGCGCGCAATTCCGGCCACGCAATTACGTTACTGCCATCATGGCCATGACGTCGGACTATACATGCATGCATGCATACATAACATCATGCACATAGGAGTGACCATGACCATGACATTAATGTACTGGAGTATTTTCATATACTCCGTATATAATGATGCTCTAGACTTAGTCAACGTGATCCATATGTATTTATATTTAAAGTTATTTTTTAATTGATTTGACCTGATTTCAAACTAAAATACGGAGTAATTGGTAATATAATAAGAATAAGTTAAAGAGAACAGAATCAACTAATTTATTACTCCCCATCCCAAATTAAGTGTTTTCTTAAGTGTTTCAAACATTTGAGAAAAAGTTGAAACACTTGAGAAAAGTTAGTGTTTCAAATAGAGAGAGTGTGTATGTGTGTCAGTGAAAAATTAGGGTATGTTTGAGGTATACTTTTGTTTTTTCCTAGAGTAAAGGCAGAAAACTATTTCTGGATACCCTTGATTTTCGAATAATAACTCCCAGGTCCCATATTATATCAAATGTATTTTGAGGTACCTTTAATTTTTTGGTAAGAACTCTCAAATCTCACATTATTCAAAGTATACTGCACGTGGTCCTTAAATTTTATGGTAATGTAATCTAAGGACACATTTCGTTTACCTGACCATTATAATTGAAAGTTTGTTACTTTGACAAATATTAAACTTTACATTAATAATCATTATTTTATTAAATAAAAATTACGGAGTATTCATCAATTTATCAAAGTAAAATAACTTTTGATCTAACGTCTAAATTGAGATAATGTACCCTGTGACTATAATATTACAAATTTTAAAGACCACGGAATATATTCCAGATATGAGACCTGAAAATTCTTACTAAAAAGTTGAGAGAATTCAAGAATACATTTCAGAAAATGTGGGACTTAGAAGTTATTACCAGACTAACTGAAAGTAACTTTTTGAAGGCGGGGAAATGATCATTATGTCCATCAAGTAGAATTAAGATGTGACAATATTATCCCTCTGCTCCCATCCTATGTCTCCTACCCAAAAGGCTAGTAGCATGGAATTAATAGCATCGCATATTAGCATTGCTTTTGTGGACAAATTCTAATTCCTAATTTTCAAACAAGGCCCAGGCCCGTTTACAGATCTCTGAAATCTTACTGACGGACAACAATGGAGACGACAACTCGCTGGTGGCCGGCGAGGGAGGGGGTTGGCCGTCGGCGGCAAGTAACGGGCAACCTGTGTTGCCGGCAGTTGAAAGACGGGAAAAGGACCGAACAAGAAGTAAAATATAGAGAAAATTTCAAAATAAGAATTTTATATTTTTATTTTCGAAATAAGAGTTACAATGTTTATAATGTCAACATATAACATCAAAAAACACTATAAAATATCAATATACAGTATCACATTGCAAAGTTTTATTTTAACGATAAAAACATGTCAAGAATATAGCTAGAGTACTTTTTTACTTTTATTTTGGAGGATTTCTTAACCAAATAGTTAACTACTTGTGTGATATGAGTATACGTATCTCTTAATCAGGCTGGCAACATACTTAGCAGCCCATAATGAGCCAGCCTCTGTACAAGAGAAAGCATGAGTATGACCCTCTTGTTCCACTGTCACTACTGCCCCTGGAACCTTCTCACACATCTGCAAATCAATGAACCAAAAAAGAAAAAATGCCAAAATAAATCTTTATATATAGAATTTGATCTTATTTCTAACGATTTACCTCTTCGAGTACATGTGCGGGACCCCAATGATCGTCGAGACCGAATAAAAAAGCCATCTTGTTTTTCTTTTGCCTCATGAAGGGCCAATCCAGTTCCTCAGAAAGCTATTTCATAAAGGAACTTTGCATAAATGTCTGATTCTCCTCAGCAAAGTTTAATGGATGGGAGAACACAATGTTACCTTGTCAAACTCTGTCATCGCCATGAAGAGTACGTTCTGCATCGCGTGGAACTGAAAAAGTATTGAATTTCTGACCATGTTTGGTAATGGATATATTGTACACAACTGTGCACACGAAATCTATGTACCTAAAATATTGAGTAATGATATTACGATGTTAATTAAGGAAAGAGATGCTAACGTGGAGGAGATGCGTGCAGAGGGCATCAACTGCGGTAGAAGACCAACATTTCCCGACAAAATTCTTCACTAGAGATCTAGAAATCCAGGCCGGTAGCATTCCTAGGCATGCCACGACAGAACTAAGCATTGCAGAGATACTCCTCGACCTGCACATTGTTCGTTAATGCTTCATTGAGACAGAACAACTAAGGTCTGTTTGGATGATGGGTTTTTGAAAATGTTTTGAGAGGAAGACTTTAGATGTCAATACGGCGTAGTCCATAATAAAAACACCTATCACGTTATTTCTCCAGTTTGTACAAAAACATCGTATCTGTATGTGAATGAGTAAGGGAAAAAGGAAGTAGAGGGAAGAAGATTTACGCTGCAATCTTCTTGATAACAGATTGTTTCCCAGATTTGGTGTTCACTGTCAAAAATGGATATAGTCCAATGCAGAACCCCACCTAATTATTACGGAAAAATTGGAAAGAAAAGAAGAAGAATATATTTACTCCGTTATAGGGAACACTGAAAACTCCAATAACAAGATTTTACACATAAAACAATATTAAATTCTTCATTTCTTTACCTCTTTCTGTAATCTCTTAAAAACTTCCAAGGATATGTAGGAACCAATTGAGTGGCCAACCTTAAAAAAAATCAATCGGTGTCAGGATGGAACAAAAATGTATCTTTGGGTTCCCAGTTAGATTGTAAGTCATAATCCTACCAGGATTATAGGTACTTCAACATTATGAAATTCTTGCTCAATGAAGTTCATCTGAAATCAAAGGAAAATCACAACGATTGATGTTAAAATCCCCAACAGCTATTAGTGCACCAAACGAGAGTCACAGTGAAGGTGACAAATGATAAATGACGTAATTGGCAATTACCTTGTGATCAATTTGTGCTTGCAAAGAAAACAACCTTCCAAGCTCCCAATTCTAGCATGTGAATATATTGTGCAACTATTTTAGCCATTATTTTTCAGATAAGAGTTGCTTCAGATGAAAAAAATTTTTGCATCAAATACACGAAGCAGTACACAAGGTTGGTTTTAACACATAGGCGTGGTTACGTTACATCATAGATGTAATGTAATAAAGTAATTTAATCAAATGTGTTTCTAATACTCCAATGCAATATTTGATTATATTGCATGTTATTTCAGTTTCTCATATTACACCAGAATGTGAACTTCAACATCTGGCAAAATGTTTAGTTCAAGCATACTGAGAATATAACAGCTAAATTTCTAGAGAGAAAAGGCTTCAGAAACATGAATTTTTAAGAGAAAAGAACTAAGTTTTTCAGTATTGATGTACCAAAGTACACTTGAGGGCGTTGCCTGAAAACTCAAGATACATCAAGGGAATGTTTGGATCACGGAAAATTCTAGTGGAAAGACAACAACTTAGGAATACTATTTCATTATGGTTGGCATTACCTTGTTGCTGTGAGATATGTGCGAGATAGCTGGAAAATGGAGAGCTTAAAAATCACTGCAGAACCATAAAAATATATGCTGTATTCCAATATGAAGTATTACATTTAAATTGAAAAAATGAAAAAATCGCAGAGAATCAAGTAGACACCGTTCCTTGCCTGTCAGGGATACAGCTCCTCCCAGTAGCTCATACAGTGACTCAAGGAAATCAACATAAAATGAAGCAACACCTGTAACCACCATTGTTGACAAAAATCGATCAAAAACTCCCTTATCACGCAACAAGAGCACTTAAAATTCTCACTCAGTTCTTAATACCTGGATTTCCCGGAATGAACAAAACATGCAATTTTGGATCTTGGGCATGAATCTCCAGTAAATCGGTCTTGTAGCTGCCACAACAAAGAACAAAGAGATATCAACTCCCTCTACTACAAAATCAATGGCCACATCATAGTTGTCTTGGCGTCGCCTAGGCGTCCTGGCGCCCTTCTACTTTCGCCATGTGAGCTCACCTCGCCTTATTTTGCATACCTCCCCTAGGCATTGCTTTGGCTCACCTAGACGTCGCCTTGGCCCGCCTAGTCCAATGTTTTATTTTTTATTTTTTTATTTGTTACTCCAGTGCTTTATTTTTTCAAGTATTTTATGCCCCAACTTCATTTCTTTTTTTAAATGCTTTATAAATTAATTTATTTTCAATTTAATGTTTTTCTTTCTATGTTATCTTCCTAATTAACACTCAGTGCTTAATTTTTGAAATGTTAAATGATTAATTTATTTCCAATTTAAGTCGGTAATGCTTTTTTTCAACTTTGGTTTGTTTTTAGGAAGTACATAGAAGAAACTTTGGTAGTTAAACTTTCCTATATTAGAAAAATTTAAACTTTATCAACTACAATGTATATTGTGATATATTTATATTAGTGTTCTTAATGTATAGCAACAACAACAACAACCAAGGTGATTTGATTTGGGTAATAAATTTTTGCTTGTTATCCTCGAATGCCACAAGTAGGGTGTGTGTACGCAGACCTTACCCCTACTCAAAAGTAGAGAGGTTGTTTCCAAAAAGACCCCCTAGCTCGGCATTGAAAGTTGCATTGATTGACGAACTACTACTTCATTAACTAAAGATTAGATATCCATTTTGCTTTTTCCATCACACCTCAAAGCCAAAAAATAGTAAATTTTCTCTTACATTATGTGTTGCCTAGGCGGTCACCTCATCGACTAGGCGTCCTGGCGATACCCTAGCACCGCACCTCGACTTGGCGCCTTGACAACTATGGGCCACTTTAGTAGCCAACTAACATTCCTCTACTTATTTGATTTATGTCCTTACTCTAGTAGCCAACTAACATTCCTCTACTTATTTGATTTATGTCCCTAGTCTTTGTGTGTGTGTGTGTCTGTTTCATCATACTACGGTTTACTAATTGCTGGCTTCGTGTAAAAAGGTTGTGCTCTACATTTGACGACGGTTTTCACACAACACCGGTCGTTCCAGCGTGATTATCACCCACACCCGTATGGAGAAATTTTCCCAAAAGATTTGCTCTAAGTCAAACGTGTTTAGCTTTGGAGTTTCTGAGTTACAGACTCCTGAATAGAAAATGCATTTTATTTAATTGTGCAGTCTCATACATGCACTGTCTCAATTCATTCATGTAACCTTTTGCATAGAAGCCTTTCAGAGGCCGCTCTTTGTCCGTGCCTCGTGGACATGCCATCAATCCTTGCCTTCTTTCCCCCTTCTTTCGCCCCGGGTATGAGTGAGTATTACAGCTCATCTCGAAAAGTCTCTATTCTCATTTTGGTGAGATGTATTGGGATCGAATGGTTCGACTTGGTACTTAATCTTGTTTATATATTAGAAAGAAAAAAAACTCTTTCATTTTAATTATTTGAATTCTTGAAGTTAATAAAATCTTAGTTACGATCAACAGTGTCTCAAGAAAGACTTGGTCGATTGGCGATGATAGCTATCGAGGATGAAATCGCGAGAGTATAAACTGCGAAGTGGTGATCAAATGCTAGGAGAACTTCACAAATCGTCTGTTATAGCTTTTACGGTATGTAATTATAAAACTATGATTTTGTTATGCTGATTACTATAACTTCAATCATCGTTTTAAAAAATTAGCTTATGTAGGGCCTAGGGCTTTTAGGGCACTTGAATCCACCGGCCCTGAATCCCTATCTCTCGCATCTTCACAATTATAAATAAATGCAAACATGAAAAAATAGTCTTGATTCACAAAACCCATTCTTTATACGGAGTAAGGAACTGGCATTAGAGAAATTTCAAAGATGATAAGAAAAATAGAGAGAAATACCCAGCAACATTGCAGAGGCGGTATTTGGCTCGCTGTGTTTTGCTGATCGGCGTCGGATTTTCAAGAACCATTCGCGAAAGATTGCAGCTTGAAGATGCAAATCTTCTTCTTCTTCTGTAGGTTTGGGAAGATAGGTATGGGAGAAAATGTGAGAGTCCAGCGCAAAACCTGGAGTTGGGGCCAAACGATTGAGGAAGAAGATGATGAGAGAAAATGCTGAATATCATTGGTTTTGTCTAACGACGACGTTTGAAGTTTGGGGATAGAATTGGGTAGAGATTTAACATGGGTTTTTTTGTTGTTTGATGATAAAAAAAAGATTGAGGTTCCATGACCACGGGCGTTCTGGTATTACGTTTGTAAAATTAATTGTTCATATCTCTTCTTATACTAGGTAAAGCTCCCACTCCATCCCGATTCGAACACCTACACATCCTTCAATTGCATCTTATAAGTTAATTTTGACATTAGAGTCAACTTTATTGTCAAATATTTTTTTTCAAGAGATCATAGGAGAAGAGGCGTGATCGCGTACGAGATAAGTTGAATTGGGAGCGAACAGATAATTGGTAGAGCCGTCTGCGCCAAGGAACCAAACTTCTTTCTTCTAAGTTTTACCAATTCCATTCAAATTTCAAACAACCTTTTCTTCTAGACATAAGCAAAAACAGCATTTATACACACACACACACACACACTGCACATATATATGTGGTCGAGATCGAATATATAAAACAATCAAGAAGAAGACCACTCTCATTTAATTGCCTGAAATTAAAGCAGAAGATGTTAGGAGAGCTCATAACCCAAAGCTTAGTGTATGCATGTGATTCTTTTACTTAACTTGTTTATTTATTTATTTATTTATTTATTTATAAGAGTATTAAATTTCATGTTTTTTTAAAAAAAAATTAAATGGATATCCAAAATGGGTGCAGATTGGTTCTTGGGTATGCGTACCCAGCTTTTGAATGTTTCAAATGTGTGGAGAAGAACAGAGCTGACATCCAACAACTGCGCTTTTGGTGCCAATATTGGTATGTACCTATTTTTACTCATTTAATTTGTGACAAAAAATTATATATTGTTTATGTTTTTCTTCTTTATACTCATTTATGCTTGATTTTTATATTTTACTTCTTTTTTTTCCAGGATTGTTGTGGGCTTAGTGAGAGTTTTTGAAAGTGTTGGTGACATTTTCATTTCATGGTATGCTTATTCCATACATACATACATACACACACTATTTGTTAGAGTGTATCCCACATCGGAAGTCCAAGAGAAATAATCCGGTATATAAGCTCTTGAGTTAAACTAACTAATCGATTGGATTCAATCTTTTAATGTGGTTCAACCCAAGTGCCTTATTACCCAATCGAGTTGTCCATACCCATTCCAAATTCTCTATCACTATTGATTATATTTTTTAAAAATGAAGTGTGAAATACATATATATTGCAGAGATATGTAATGAATCAACTGTCATATAATTTCCATGTAGGATACCAATGTACAGTGAGGTGAAGTTGGCACTTTTTATATACTTGTGGTATCCAAAATCCAAGGTAAAAAAAATGGAGTCATGGTTTCTTTACTGAATATGAAGAGTTTACTCACTTGGGGCAAATGGAATATGTTTTTTTATTATATATATGCTCACTTGGAAGTGTATTGGGTGAAAATTGGGGCAGGGGACAACATACATATATGGGGCAGTGTTGAAGCCATTTGTATCAGAGCATGAGGGGGACATTGAAAGAAGTGTCCTACAGTTGAGGGATAGAGCATGGGACTTGGTCCTCTTTTATTGGCAAAATTGTACAGATTTGGGACAAGAAAAGTTCTTTAATCTCCTTGATTTCTTGGCTACTGGAAGAATGCTTACTACTCTTCAATCCTCCAACTCCGAGGTAATTAAATAACGAGTCTACTGTTATGACACATGCGATAAAATATGAACACGAACAATCGACAATCACGAAAACGACAGAGATTTAACGTGGTTTACTAACAACCTGTTAGTAACTTCCACGGACAAAAGAAAAAATATTTATTGATCAATACTTTCTAACCAGATTACAAATTTCCTCTACCATGAGTTGAGGAGTACAATACAAGCTATATATATATATATATATATATATATATATATATATATATATATATATATATAGGGAAGGGATATGAGTAATCCTAATCCTACTACATATATATAAAGATGAGAATAGGAAAGATAATCATAATCCTATTCCTAGTCGTAATCCTAATACGTATAGAATACAAATTCAAAGCATTTTCTAACATGTACTATACATATTTCATCCTTTCATAAACAAAAAAATGGAATAGAACCGGAACTGTCAGAACTACCTGTACTTAGTTTCGGCTAAGGTTCTGAAAATTGGAACTGGAAATGTTGGAACTACCTGTTCCCAGTCTCAGAGTACTTCTATGGTGCACTTGGATGCATACTACTTTTGTCGACCTTCTCACATAAATTTTTTTAATAAAAAAACAAATGCGTGTTTAAATAAAAAAAAATGTTCATTTTGCTCATATATATAAGTCCATAATGGACTTTAAGAGTATAAGTTCATTATAAAATTTGTCATAGTCCCATGGGCCTCTTGTGGTCCTTTTGGGTCTATTTTCGGAAGCACCTTGACCCGTCCAATCTGACATGTTTGCATCAACCATCAAATCCATCTTTATGAACATTATCTAGTCATTTGTACCCCACATTTTTCCTAAAGTAAGATTTTAATAAAATTCACGTCTTCTTTTTATTTGTCTCAAGATAAATATCATGTATATCTTCTTTTTTAAATTGTAATATATGGCTAATATTTTTGGATATGGAGCACTTAATTAGAAAGAATGATCATAGGAACGGTCTTTAATTTATGACTGTTGTGATTAATATCATGCAGCATAAAGATGGTGACCAACAATGCGCTGGAGCTCCGGGTCCCCTCCCTCCGCCTCCCGCCACCATCAAATCAGGTTTTTTCCGACGACACAAATAGCCTACCGTCAGCGTCAGCGGCCATTTCTCTGTACAAATTTCCGGCAATCCCCGCTACATTATTTGTTGATTCATTCATTTATATTGACCTTATTATCCAACTTATTATCCAACTCTTAAATGTGTTGTCTCTACAAAAAAAACATCTTTGTAACCCTATATCTTTCCATTTCATATTATTTTTTATTAAATCCAAATATGTAATTTATCCAATTATCAAGGACTATTTGGCTATGAAATGGAAGTGAATAGTACTAAAAAATGAATATTTGGTTTTACTATGTTAGCACAAATTATTCAAATAAGCGTGAAACACAAAAGTTCCTTTAGTTTATTTTTTTCCATCTTTTTGTACTTTTTTCTGTTTTTTGACAAAATGTAACCATGGAACATATTCTGTAATCTGTAAATAACATTTGTTTACGGGAAAGAGATGAAAAAAAATTAAAAAAGAGAATACAAACTTGTCAACATCTTAGACGCCGAATCCCAATCGAACAGAATAGACAGTCAACGGCGCGAGTCAACGGCAGAAGGATGTGGCGATCGACGAATTCCAGGAGAGCCACGACGGAGGAGTTGGGGGAGAAGCGGTGGCCGAGTTTTCGTAGGAAGCTCTGGCCGGAGGATTCCGGCGAGGTGGACATGGGCTGAAGGTATGCCCACGCCGCCTGTTGCACGAGGCGATTCCGGATAAGGATATCGGATCCGTGGTGAGATCCCGGCGGCGGCGTGGCTCTCGGGGAGTTGGCGGCGGCGGCGGAGGGCAGGAGATCCTTCAGGGAGGTGTACTGAACCTGCTTCATCGAGAATAGCTCGAATCCGAGGTCGCCGTGCGACGACGCGGAAGATAAATCCGACGACGCCGTGGCGGCGCACGAGGAGGAAAAGGAGGAGGAACTGAAATCGCGGTTGCGGCAGAGGCTGAGCTGGCTGGGAGTGCGGACGACGGAGTTGCGGCGGAGAACAATACTGTTTCCCGGCGATTGGGCTGCTTGTGGTGGAGGAGCCGTTTTAGGATCGGCCATGGTGGTGGCGCCGGCCGTGTAAGAGGCGGCTGATAGACGAGGAATAGATTTATCAGGTGCTCTTTAACGGTAAGAGAGATTAGTGGGGGGGTCAGTACTCACTCTCCTTTAAACGCGCTTTATTTTCGGGATTCTGTTGCTCCGATTGCCGTATAATTGCGGAGTAAAAGGAGGATAGCCCCATTAACATTTTACTATGGGCATGTTTGGCATTTAGCTATTAGGACATTCCCAATGATAGTGTGAAAAACGGCTAGAAGGTGATCTTCTTCAGATTTTACCATAGCCATAAACAAAAAAATGGGGGAAAGTTAGAAAGTGAGTTTTGGAATTCTCAAGACTTCTGACTCCATTCATCAAATAAAAGGCAGACATGTGTAATCAATAATAATTAGTTGTTGAAAAAATAATTACATCTATTTTGTATTCATAATAAAAAACAATACTCTTCAATTCTAAAAAAAACTCAATTGTCAATTATATGTACTTATAGAAAAAATAGAAGATGTGGTTGGAGTTTCTCAAGAAAAGCAAGCCTCTAAACTACTTAAGTATGGAGTACTAGGTAGTGTAAAAGCAAAATCTAGTTTCTCTTGTTCCAAAACGTGAAATTGTTCACTCAAGCACCTTTCACCCACTACTCGGAAATTGTGAGATGAGATAAATTATGGTGACTCAACTGACAATAAAGATTGGAACTAATGCTCTTTGCGTACAAGGAGCACCCTTTATTTTTGGAAGGTTGCTCCCACACTAAGGCTAGCGAGGCTCTATCCTTGGTCTCTTTATTCGAAATCCAATTATGACACCAGTAGAGCCGCCCATGTGGGCCCATATTTAGCTTTTCTTAGAGATGTTCTTAGTCGCTAATTTTTTAGATTTTGTTTGGATAAGGAGAGAAAATAAGAAAAAAGAAAATGAAGATAAAAGTAAAAGAAAAATAGATGTTGTTTAGATGGGTAGAAAATAAGAACAAAAGTAAGAGGAAAGAAAAGTTACCCATTCCGTCTTATAATGTTCTTCCCGGTTCATTTTACGAGGTTTGACCGACTTTATTTTCAATTCAATTTATTTGATTGTAGGTGTAAAATTAAAAAATAAAATTTATGCATTTAAAAACTACATCAAAAGTTCTACAAAACAAGTGGTGACAAGACTATATTATTTTATCAAATACCTAATGAAAATAGATAAAGAAAGTGATTAAAATTTGACCAGGTAAAAAGTGAGTGGGAAGAACATTTTAGGACGGAGGGAGTAGTAAAAAAAAAAGACATTTTTATCATAATTTATGCCAATGAAACAAAGAAGTAAGGATAAAATTGTCATTTCAATAATTTTCTCTTCTTCCTTCAAGTTTTCTCGCCATATGAGCGGAGAAAATATTTCTCACCTTTTTTTCTCTCCGCTTCCCCTTTCCTCTCTTAAATAAATAATTGATTTTTTTTGGAAACTATGTTTTCTCCTCACTCATCTCTGTAGACTCCTAAAAATCGACAAGATTTGTGTAGTTATTTACGTAAATTAATTGTTTCCCAAAATTTCTAAATATATAGAATATAGAGTATTACACCACATTAATTTGTTTTATATGAATCTCTTGAAGTATGTAGCAGGCTTATTAGGTATTTAGGATGTGCTTAGTGAACAAACAAGATACGTGTTTTGAGATCTCTAGACTCAGAATTCTTTTTTGATGTTTGATGAAGCCAAAGAGGATTTCGAATTCAATATTTTTAGATATCATAAATATTTCAAATGTATGATATCAATATTTCTCGAATTTTGGAGATATGAATATGGGGGTTTGATATCTCTCTCAACCAATTCTAATTCTCTATCACCGGCTACTATTGTCACCGCCAACCACTCCCGTTGCCGGTCACCCCTTCTTATCATTAATTAAATCATAATTTTAAATTTTTCCAAACAAATTTGTTTCAGATTTCAAAACGCATATAATTTTTCCCAGATTTCATAAACTCATATCTTATCACATCTTCAAACTCACTAAACAGGCCCTAATTTGTAACTATAATTTGGATTACAATATAGTTTGTAAATGTAATATATTTTGAATATATGAATACAATTTTGTGTCTTTTTGCAATATTATTGGCATCCATACTTAATTTTACGATGTACCATTTAAAATAACAATATTTGACTATAATTATTTTTAATCTAATTTATTTGAATGGCGATGTAAATTCATAAATAAAACATTACACATGAAAGCGGTACCAAAACTTTTACTCTATAGGAAAGAAAATGTGGCACAATTGTATTATTTTATGAATGTTGGATGAAAAATATATATTAAAACAAAAGTATAATTTGACTATATAAATAGTAAAGGAAAATATTTAAATGGACAAATGGAGTATTATTTTTGATGGAGGACGACCCCAAAAGACACGTCAGCCGGGCCCATCAGCCACGTGGAAGATTTTCTTTGCTCGGCCCATGAGCTCGGCTCGGCCCGTGAGCTCGGCTGGAGACCGTGATAGCGACCGCCGGATAGCGACCGGCCACGTTGACTGCGCGACAGCGATGGGATGAAAGAGACAACGCATAACAGAGATGACGTCCGCTAGGCGACGAACCTCGATCAGAGAAACTTTGACTATGTGTATTGTATCCCCTATAAAAGGGGAGAGACCCCTCATTGTAATGGATCCAAGTTTAGAACAAATAAACTCCTACTTTGCATTCTCTCTCTCTAAAACTTATATTATTCTTTGTTCTCGGTGGTTTATCGCCATCAAATTGGTGCTCTCATTGAGAGAAGAGAAACATACTCGTAGGTTAACTCCCGAACGCGAGAATGGTGCAAACAAGGAGCAACGTCCCCACCACCAGCCACGTCGTTGGCGAAGAGAACGCGCCGGGCAGCGGCAATGGTACGGGCGGCATCGGTTCGACTCCGGACGCGGTCCAG